TCCCGTGTTTGTTTGCCAAGTTACTCGCCAGAGATCACGTGGATTTCAACGCCTTTGTGACTGGTCGCCTACCATTGATCATCTACGGTACTCGGTTGTCAATTGCATGCACTTTGATGGGTTCCTTCATGTTGTTTCCTTACGGAGTCTAAAATACGATTAACTTTAACACCTGTCAGGTGACAAAATGTGGCTTCTCTTTTTTTCAACTATTGGCGATCCGCCAGTTAAAACAGTTAGGAGCTACGCAAAAAGGCATTCTTAACTAAGATAATTATTATTTTTGATAAACAGAACAGCAGCAGTTAGTGAATTTTACACTTATTTGATGAGTGTAAGGCCAGCGTACTTGATTTTCTCGTTTTGTTTTTTTGTGAACGTGTGTGTGTAATGACGGCGACCACAGTCGAAAAGTCGCCTCCGCTGTCCACAATTTTTTGACCGACAAGGGCATTCTTTGAAATCTCAATACGTGTAAAGCTATACCTTTTTTCGTATACTTGTTAGTGGCGGTGATAAAGATTGTATGGTTTGTGGACCATGCCTCTTCCTCGAAGGTTTTCATCTTGGTTCTTCTTTCTTGCCATCTTCTTGTCATCTTCGTGCATATCTCTCTTTTCCTTGCCTCAAAGGGTTTTTTCTACCCCAGGAAATATCTGTTTCAAGAGATTATTCTGTAGAGAGGGACTCCTCATGAACTATCTTAGGGAATTTAAAATTGTTGTAGGAGTTTGTCATTTTTTCAAAATATTTTAAATCATTCTTAACGTTCTGTTGAGGCCCAGCGTGACTTTCAATATGACGACCATGTGCATTGGACGACCAAACAGGCGGACGATTTTGTAAGGCGCTCGATGTAGGTTTGCACGAGTGATTAGGACTGGTACATGCGGGCGCGCGTCACTGCCTAACAATTTAGATGTATTTTATCCCTTTGTTCAGTCACTACATTAAAATACGTTTTCTGCGTTCACAGGATCGTACATTGTGTGTTTCTGCACATCATTACAAAAGAGGCGGAGCGTCTCACGTCTGTTTTACCGGTGACTCACAACACGTCCTCAGTACAGGTGCTGACGGTGTGTTGGCCTGCTGGGTTTGGAACTTCACATCAACAGGTAATACGGCGATAAATTATGTTAGAATACACTACACAGGTGATTAGTGCGCTTTTTGGCTGGTGTGTAAGTCATTAACAAGTACTATTCACATTGGAACAGCCGAAGAGACTAAATCGCGCGTCAAGATTCAAATTTCCGACCGGTTTTTGGTATATTTACAGAAATAAACCATTTTGTGTGTGGTATTTTTCTTAAATATTTATCCACCTCAGTGTTGATTTAAGTAGTAGATATTTACTTCCACTTTGTCGAATAATGGCTTAATAGGATGAAAAGCACTTCTTAGGAGGCTAAGAGGTAGGGTGGTTTATAACTTTGGATTTGTAATCTGAAGATCGAAGGTTTAAGTCCTCTACTCTGCCACTCAATTGCATGTGTACGACTTATATTTTTCACTCAGGAGTAAGCGTAGATAAAAATCTCCCGGTAGTATTACTTTAAGAGATAGAAACTGAATAGTGAGGAAACGACTCAAAACATGAACCCTGTGATAAGAACACAAACCCCATGGTGATGTACCAGGTTCCGGTCATGACGACAATATCTGGTATCGTAGTGTATGGAAAATGAAGATGTTAAAATACTGAGGAATTTTTATTATTTATATCGGGTTTTATGATAAATTTGTTTAACTTTTTATAGGTATCTTTCCTTCTTGAAATAAGTTCCCTGTTTCTTTTTTTTTTTTTAAATATTCTTTTTGTTTATTCATTGATTCATTTCTTCAGGCAAAGGCAAGGCGACAGCAGCCATAGATGCTGCACGTGCGCGCTCATCACTGCTGACCACCATGCGAAAGGACGAAGACAGTCTGGCGGCTGAACGTGGGGAATACGTGCCCAGATCTCTCTCGCCGGTCGAGAAAGCGAACACTGAGGCGAGCGAGAAACAACAGAAAGTTATCAAAGATGGCATCTACACCACCCCCACTCCTACCCCCTCAGAAGATGCAACCTGGCTTGAGAAAGCTGTCAGCGAGGTATGAAAATGGAGAATGACCATGGAAATGGGCAATTTTGCCTTGATTATTGTTGATCGAGGGTTCATGTTCGTATTATGTTTTTCTGTGTACTGGATGACCTTCGGGCAAACAATTTCTGGACAAGGATCGATCTTCTGGATGCGAAAATATCATTTGCAAATTCTCGTCTCTTTTTACGATCAAATGAAAGATCTAGTACTGTGAGGGATTTCGTGTCAGAGAGTTTTAAAGCTGCCTTACGGACCATAAACTCAAGAGAAAACTATGGACTAAACGGCCTTGGCTATTTTTACGTGACAGTTCAGGGTAAGGGACTGGAGGGAAGGGACGTGGATGGAAGGGGAGGGCGGTTAGGAGAGGAAAGCATAAGGGAGGGAGGTTGAGGAGATAGAGAACTGATTGTAGAGTGAACATACAGCACCATACAATCGTTCCTGAACTTGCGCTAAACGTAAACGTAAAAAAATATACTGCAGGTGTTGTATCGTGCTCAGAGTCAAAAAGAAACTTGGGGGCGGGGAATCTCAGTTTTGGAGGATATTTGTGCCATCAAATTTTTTTATGCTTCTGCAGACCCAACGTGAAGAGGCCAAAAAATTTGCTGAGATAAAGCGGAAGTTACGTCAGGAGATTCAAGAATTACGTCACACCGTGCTGCAGATGATGGGTGACAACCAGCAAGCACCGGAAATAGAAAAACTGGACAGATATGAGTACAACTTGGATGTTGATCAGCGGCAGAAATTGATTTTAGAAGGGGAAGAGAAAATTAAACAGGTACGGAAAGCAGGTTTGAACATTTACGGCAATACCACACCTTGCTTTACATTATCGTCTCTTCCTTTCGGTTTGTAATGCGTAGGGGGACTATAGAAAACCTGTTTAACAAGGTTCCAACGTAAATTCCTCAAGAAATTTATTTCTTTCGTTACTTGAGCATTTTTTTTGTCATTTGCATGAAGGAGTGTAAATCATATTCTTAATACCACATGATCGTACTGAATACGGTTTTGTGTGAAAACCTCACAAAGCTTACCCAATAAAATATTTTTTGTGTTCATACCGCACCAGAAATTCAGTCAAGTCTGATATAGGATAATTATAACAATCGCAAGGAGTAAATGAGAAATAATCAAAAGAAAGGAAATAGTATCCTTTCTGAAGTGTGGGAAAGCGCGCTTGACCTTGTGGAGATTGGTTTAATTCTTGCCTTTGATTGATTGAGAGAGTGGCTCCTTTTTTTTTTTTAACCAATCTCAGAGCGAGGTAAAGTAACACCAATTGCAAACCCGTTGAAAATCACTCCAATTCGTGCTGTTAGTTCCGGGTACACGTATTCATAGTCTATTGCTGGATTATTCTCCAACAGGTCCGTGAGGAGATAGAATTGGCAAATCTTGCCAATCAGTACTTGCGCGAGATAATAAAAAAAGAATGTTGGGACGCCATGGTCGTCAAAGGACGTTCAGTGAACGCCTTTCACCTTCCTCTGTCTGTCTCCAACTACCCTATGAAGGAGCGAACTAAAGCAGAACTGGATGAAGTTCAGTATGTCATCAACCAGAGGAAAATCGAGCAAGCTGAGTCCGCAGCCAGCAAGGATGTAGTGTCTAGTCCGCCTTCGGCCAGAAATACACCTCTTGTTGGTAAGAAAACAAGCTGTTGGTTTCAAAGAGCCGCGTCAGATTTTGTTCTTCTCGTAACATTCAGCCTGAATTTTTTTTCAAAGGAACGATATGAAATCCATGTCAATCCATTCATGTTCCCTGTTGGTTGTTTCCACCCATTTTTTAAATTGAAAAGAATATTTTATGGTTCCTTTCCTGTTGACTCAACGATTTTGACGTAACTCCTTTGACTAAGTTGTTATTCAGGTTGTGACAAGCTTTTTTAGTGCCTAATTCTGCATTGGGTTTGTTAGATAACCTCGCTTTCTTGTAAGACGCACAAACAAAACAGAATTAGTTATACTCATGTAGCTTTCATGGGCTTCTATGTGCTCTTTCTGCTCCTTATTTTAGCCTTCGTTTATTATCAGTCATGAATTAATGAGTATACCACTATCGCTCTGATTGGTTAAACAACCTATTACTTTGTGTGCTGATAAACTCATAGCAATTGTTTAATAGTGATTACCGCAGTTTTTATTGGTTTGCTGGCCTAATAACCCAATTGTGTTAGTGGCACATCCGAAAAGTCTTTTAATAGCTTGCCTTTGGTGATTTACAACTTGAACTTTCTTCGTGTTCCCTCAACATCCTAAGATGGTTGTTACGTCAGTAAACAGATTTGAGGTACAGTATAGTGCTTAATGAATTAATATTCGTTTATTAAAATCAGATGACCGACAAGAGTTTGAAGACGAGGATATTCTGGCCGAGGATGAAGGAGAGAGGTCTGGAGATAACCCGGCTACAACCGGAAGTCGTGGTGCAGCTTATGGCGGCGGCCAGGAGCTGTTTCAAAGTCAGTTCCAGCTCCACACGGTGCAGCAGAAACTCAACCAGATTGTTTTGTTGCAGGTATCGACCAAGTCGACAAAATTTATTACGTGCTACATAAATTAATCAAGGTCTGATAAAATTGGGAATTTTAATCTTACGAGCTTAGTTGCCCATTACTACCCGAGCTTATCCCGGTTTCCAAAGCATGATATTGCCTCTGCTCTTCATTAGGCGGGACGGGACTTCGATAAGTTGGCTTGTACCCATCTGGAGCAACTGCGCGCCTACCCCTCCCCTAACCCAACATTAATCCTATTTGCAATCAGTTAACTGTTGTTGGTATAGGGGAGGGGTAGGTGCGCAGTTGCTCAGATACTGAGAGGCACTGTGAGAGTAGAGGGTCTTACTTAAGAACACAGCGCATGACCAGGCCAAGTCTAGAACCCAGACCTTTTGATACCGAGTTTGGCGCGCCAACCATTGGACAAAACGCTTTCCGAAAATATTGGAAGTACAATGTAATTTCAAAAATTCAACCAAGTTTACTTACATAAAGATAAACCTAAATGAGAGATGATTTATCTTTCGTGCTGTGTGAGTGTTATGAGACCTCTTTGGTGTTGGTGGGCGATGTTTGGATTGCAAGATTAAAGCTTTTCACTTCTTTCCCTTGTGCAACCAAAATTAGGGCCAGAAGAGATACAAGCTCAAAGCAGCCGCACGTAGTTTTTATAAAGTTTTTTTCCAAACTAAAACTAGCTGAAATTGAGTAACGTTTCTCTGCTATTCCAGGATGCTATCCACAGAATCAAAGTGGCATTCAACAAGGAGTTCGACGAAATCTTCAAACAGAAAGAGGCCGAAATCAAAAGAGTCAAAGAAAGAAACGAGAGGATAAAGAAGATCTTGGGTGATCTTGAGATTGATGAGAAGGTTTTTGAGCCGGAGATGAGTGTGGACGAAAAACCCGAGCTGCTGTTGGAAGTGAAGGATGGTGAAGTACCCTTTGAGAAGTACATTAGTGAGGAGGAGAAGCTTAAGCTTGAAGAACAAGCAAAGATTGAAGAAGGTTTGTATTGAACAACAAGTAGATATACTTTGAGAACAACAAAGTCAGCATAACCTGCGTCTAAGGAAAGAGAGAGGGGACAATTCATTTGTGAACAATTTTTTTGAAACCGAACATCGTCTTGTGTTAACCTTGGTGTCCATAGAACAATTTTCAAAGTAATACGGGATTCCTTTGGTATAGCTTTACTTCACTTTTTGATTGGTCCAGAAAATTCGCGTCTATTTCTAAACCAATCAAATTCAAAATTTAAACCAATCGCGACTTGGTCACCCGCGTTTTCCCGCGCTTCAGGTTGTTCAGTTGTTTTGCTCGGAGTTATCACTGGCCTTCTGTTTACCTTCTTTTGTTTTGATTGGCTACTGTGATTACTTTGGGTCTGCCTTTTCGATCTTCAATCGGAATGCGCTCGATGATCG